TATTACAACCTGCGAACGCAACACTTCATCTCCATACTTATCCTTCAGGAACTCCCATGTCCTATCTACCCCAGCATGCGCTAAAGTCTGATGCACCAACGTAACAACGTACTCTTGCAAAGGCTGAACAAGTTCTGATCATACTCTTAGACCAATACACTTAAGCTGTTCGCCATTACATCCGGATCCCACATCTTTGTAATGCCTCTCTCCATCACTGCAGTAACCTGCTGAAGCAATATATCCACACGAACCTTGAAGTCTACGCCTTTTCTTTAACCGCCGCCAACCGGACCTTCATGTCTTCCACACTCTTGCAGGCTTTATCAAATGACAAATCCACACCTTCATCAATCTCTGGCAGACCCATTTTTACACATGCAGCGAACTTAGCACCCTCTACCAACACAGGCACCATAATAGGATCAAACCACCACGGCATACGACTAAGTCCATCCGCAACTTTGTTCTTTGGCCCTTCTTGGTACCGCAAATCCAGATCAAACGATCGCACATACATAACATTCCTGTACCGTCTCTTACCCACTGAATCCGACGTGAACTCTGCCTGCTGAACCACACCAATTAAAGGCTGACGATTCATCTCTACTACAAACACCTCGTACGACCTCCTAATCAAACCCGCGAACTTCAAAACCCCATATGCTAGCGCTATCAATTCTCTATCTGTCGGAGACAGATTAGCATGGAAATCTGTCTTGGAACTCACAAAGCCCACCGGAAGCCATTCTCTATCTCTTCTCACACATAAACAAGCACCTATACCCGAATCCGACGCATCTGTCTGCAACCTAAGTTGCTTCTCTTGTCTAGGTTCTACCAAGACTGTCTTCGCCTGCGAAATCTTCCGAGCCGACTGAAAAGCCTTCTCCCGCGCAGGATCCCACTGGAACCATACCTTCTCCTTAGTCAAATCACTAATCGGAGCCAACACATTTGAGAAATTCGGAACGTATCTCGCCCACCATCCAAAACACTGATACCACGACCTGACTTCGGCCTTAGTTTTGGGCCTGGGCATATCTAATAATGCCTGAAGCTTCACTTCACTTATTATCGAACCCTTATCTGTAACCTCTCGACCCATCACGACTATAGAATCTTCTCGATACGCGAAATTACATTTTGACAGTCGCAACTGTATCCCTTTCACCTCAAAGCGCCTGATCATCTCCACAATATCATCCCAATGCACAGCTGGATCGTCCGAGCCTAACGCGGTATCATCAATGTACGTCTTAATTTCTTTAATACCCTCCAATGTCTCATCCATTAGTTGTTGGAACACAAATGATGCTTCATTCAAATCAAACGGCATCCCAATAAATTGGAACCTCTCTCCCCAGGGCATCAAAAACGCAGTAACCCCTCGACTACCAGGCTCTATCACTAACTGCCAAAAACCATTTCCAGCGTCCACATTGGTTCTCCACTTGCGCCCCTTAACCGTTGCCAGAAACTCATCTTCTGTTGGTATCGGCTTGGGTTCCTCATAACTGGGATTACTACCCGGCACTCTAGACACAAGTTTCAGCACTGTAGGCCAATCCGTATATTGTACCCTCTCTAGCAACTCAGCTTCAAGCAATAGTTGCACCTTCTTCTTCATCACTTCTATAAATCGCACATCTCTCTTCGCATATACTTGTCTCAAAGTCGTCCCTCCTTCTTTGATTTGAAGCTTAAGCATCCTATCCTTCACAACCTTTGGTTTCTTGTCATTATACGCCACTCTGCCAATTCTTCTATAGACTTCCCCAGTTCCTCAACCAACAGTTCCAAGCCACTCGTATCGAACACTAGATAATCGTCCTCACCCCTGGATTCATCACTCTCATAACCTGAATCCTAACCCCCATCATCTTGCATACTATCAAATGGTGTTACCTGTTCTGATCGCTGGTATAATAACGGCGCTGCCACATGCTGAACATAATCTAACACCGGCTCAGACGTCTCTTTGCTCAGCCAGGTCTTAAAGTCTGATGGCTTCTCTCTTACCACCTCAACCGGAAAAAGGGTAGTTAGTCACCCCTTGCCTAGTGAGCACTGCCCCAGGTAATCCATACCCTTTCAATTCACGTCTGCCTAACAACATACCTGCATTGTGTGGAATCCAATTCACAGTCCACATATCCAACTTAACCCTTCTCTCTCCTACTAAAGTAGGCAAAACAACCTCAACATCTCGTACCTTGTATTCCACATAAAGTAAAGCACTGAATCCCGTAAGCCACTCTCCACACTAATCATACTGAGCGACCAGCCCCAGACGCTTTGCCAAACTCTTAGAAATCAACAAACATATCGACATAACACAGTTCACTCTCCACATAACTATAGATCAAAGGTTGGCCTGATCCTTCATAACTAGTTGCCGCTGCATGTCACAATTTAAGTGTCCTATCTGCACTCATATGCACCTCCCCAGACGCTGCTGCCACTACATTGCTCCCGGATCGTGTTGTAGGACAGAATCTCGCAGTATGATCTCTCTTGCTACACGTATGATACACCACGTCTTTCAACACAGGACACTCTTTCACATAGTGACCATCCTGCTTGCAAAACAAGCACGCCCCTCTCAGACCTGTCATCCCTGAAACCCTAGACTCCTGTCTAGCTGCAGCTGCTTGCAACTGACCTGCTCTCGCGGCTACTTTCGCCTGATGTCTCCGGCCCGCATGTTCTCTCTCTTCATGATGCGCTATGTCATCTTCTCTCATCGCAGACAACTGCTCCAGCACCTGGCCCAACCCTCCTGCCTCAAACATCCTCAGGACCATGTTCTTCTCCAATTTGCGACTCGCAAACAAGGCTTTCAGCAGACTTATACTCCGCTCAGCCAACCCTTTTAAGCCCTCCATCACTACATTCTTAGAACTCACATCGTTTGCCAATTTAAGCAGTATATCCACATAGTCATCATTCCTCAGCATAGGAACCATCCAGGGTGCCCCGTGCTGATTCGCTTTCTTAGCATTCCTACGAAATACCTTGCACAAAGCATCATACTCACGCCATTTCCGCTTAGCCTCTATCTTCAACTTAGCTACTATCCCTGGCTTGTCTGATGCATCAGCCTTCTTCCCTACTGTAGCTGCCTTAACTGAAGGCACTGTATTCTTCTTCTTAGCATCCTCATCCTCACTGTCGCTACTTTCACTGTTATCACTGCTGTCATTGTCCCTAGCGACTTCCTCCTCAGTCTCACTTCCGTCTTGTTCGTCCTCAGAAGGCACCTCAGTAAATGGATCCCGTTCTGGGAGCACTTTCTTCGCTTCAGCTTTTGCCGCAACATGCCGAGCACCATAGTAATAAATCTCACGAAGATGCGCAATAACCCTTTCAGGCTTGGATCCCCACCCTCCTATTGCCTTCGCGAAATCCGCCTGGGTTCCGCTCACTTCAAAAGGATCCTTAAACGCTGGGTACAATGCTGCAGCCGCGATGTACAGATCCTTCATATCAATAACAGTCTTGCTGATATAGCCCTCTAGTTCCGACTTTGTCTCCGGTGTAACCTCCTTCAAAAGAGCCATCGCTGGGCGGGACCCTCCTTTCTTCACCTCGAGCTCATAAGCCATGATACCCCTGATGTAATCCCATTGATCCATAAGTATTGTCATCGGCTCCCCTCTCACATATTTCCAGAGCTGTTACCCAGTTCCAGCTGCATTATCCTTCTCGTAAACAATTTTCCACTAACGTTTATTTGTAATCTTATAACACAATGTAACGGTGAACGTAGTTTTATTTCCTCGATTGTTGAATAAACGTCTATCTTAGCAGAATGAATGCACTAAACCACGTATTTATACTGTTTCCGAAGGATTTCCTTGAGAATCCTGCCGCCAATCATATAGTGTATCTCCTTAACTTCGAGCCTACAAGTCAATTCAACATATATCGTCATCTGCCAACCTCCAGCTCATATTACCCCGCACTTCGGTTTGCAAAGCACTAATCATACACCAACCTCCTCTTCTTTCGAGCCTGCGCGGCCGTTCGCCAACAAACCGCACTATACAACAGAACTTTTCGAACTTATTAGTTTTCACACTTATAAATTATCGCCCACACTTAGAAGTTCTCGCACTCCTATAACGCCCAGGAGCATTAACCAACAGTTCGGTACTTACAACACCGACATTGTTTTAAATCGGAGGTAAACATGGTTGACATTACAAACGACGTAAA